ACACCAGGAGACAGAGGAACACAGAGCACGTGTTGTGGATGTCAGAGATGAGCCCCAGCAAGAGGCAGGAACTGCCTCAGTCACAGCCAGACCAAACATCATGGCAAGTCATTTAGTGTAATTAGTATTTTCAGTAGAGGTAATCTGAAATCTTTATGCTAATGCCATTCTCTTTCCTGGCACTGCTTCCTTGAGTTCTTTTAGTTCCCTGATCATGTCTGTGGGCAACAGATGGTGATGGTGGGAGGAGTAAAGCGAAGGTGGGCTCAGGGCAGAACGTGCTGCAGGACCCCAAGAGCTGCTGCTGAAAGGGCACAGTGTTGCTTACGTGTGGGAAAGCTGTCCCAGCCTCCCAGTAGTTCCAGCAGAAAGCAAGAACTCATCTTTCTGATAAATTCTTACAAGTCAGGGTTGAGGTCTAGCAAACCCCAGCACAAGCTATAGCCCTAGCTTTACATCCTACTATCCAGCTACTCACAGCATCCTCAAAGTCCTCATCACCCATAATTACATATTTATCTGACTAGTTCAGCATACTCAGAATGTCACCAATATAATTACTCAGTCAATAATAAGTCCCATTTGTGCCGTTTTACTCCCTTTTTCCTCAAATCACTAATTCATTCTATGCAAAATTAGCTTTCACATGATGACTCCTAATGATTATTCACACAGAAAAGATGGCAGTTGTATGATTATGATAGTAAAATGGATAGCTTACTCATCACTCCGGTCATTTAGGGCCAACTCATTTAGTGCAGGGCCCTCTGCTGGTGCCTTTCACCATCTTTACGGAATCCTGTGTAAAACCCATCTCATTAATTTTTTTCCAGGTTTTGTCATAACACAATCTTTCTGTAATATCCATCAGTAGGTTAATTTTGACTGTACTTTTTGCTGATCCAGCTTTTAAGCATTATAGTAATCTCTTTATTTTCCAATATTCAGTATATATGTGTGTGCATATTTTGTTCATAACACAAATATATTTTTTCCTAGAAGAATTAGCTGTTATTTCAAAGGATTATTAAAATACGTATTTTCCAGAATGGTGACTGAATAGGATCTCTTACAGCTAATGAAAAATCATTAAAGATTTACCAAGTAACTACAATTAACTACTTCCTAAACTTAACTTTCTCAAACCTGCTTGTCTTCATTTTCCAGAAAGGTAATTTCCATCTCTGGGGTGGTATCTGTGCATCCAAACTCCGTGTCAAAATCTGCTTTCCTAAATATGTGTTCTCCTAGAGTGTGCACATGCTCTGTATACTTAGTACCAGGTACTTGGCATTAGGTACTTTTTTTGCAAGCTGAACGTATTCCCTTCCATGGTTCCACACATGGAACAGGGGGTTGGAGTGTATCTATGTGCTTGTAACCTGGTTTCCTCCAGAAACTAGTCCAGATTCTGGAAACAATGTCTAATTATGGATAAAGAATCAAGATGTGCCATGGCAATAAAGATCTACTCCAGTTGGCTAAGGAGAATTTTTT